TCTATCTCCAAAGTCGGATAATTATTGCAAGAGCGAAATAATGTGTAGTTGAATGAAAATGGAATGGATAATGTCGGTACTATTGTAACCCGGCAGTGTACCAGAGAGCAGATGCAACGCGGCGGTATAATGTACTGCGCCGCGAGAGTTATTAGGTCAGCATAAACGCGAGTAATTCTCGACTCGCTTGGCTCACATACGAAAATCATCGTGTTTACAAAAGAATGCATGCGGAAAGAACGATTTCTACAAATTCTACGGTTTGATTCGCATTTATGAAACACAATTTCTCGGATTGCGATCTTGCAAAAACACAAAAGTATCTCAATTTTGCGTTTAAGAGAATATTCTATTATCGGGTCAAAAAAATCTATTTTTTTACATTATTTCGAAAGTCTAGTTGAAACTAGAGCTTGTAAAGTTTTCAGTTTCAATTTAGAGAATTGTCGGAGTTACAAACTGTACACCGAAGCGACGCGCAGATAACACGAGAAGGAAAATAACTTCACGCACCAAATAAAGTGTTACAAGTAAATATGTAACTGTGGAACGGGTCAATGGATTGCAATGTACTTGCAATCAAAACTGTTCTTTCACGTGTGCTTATATTGCGTTTTATTTTTTTCCGACAGGCGGATCTCATTTGCCAACACTTGTATGTTACCACGAACATGAAAAAATTTGTATTCGGAAGAAAGCCGGGAAGGAAGATATTCTTCCCTCGCCGCGATTCAATGACGCGCAGTGTATGTACAAAACGTCAGCAGTTCTGGCAAGATTGAGTATATTTACTTCCACTTTCTACTGTTTATTTTCATCCAAGCAACGGTTCATTATTTACTCGTTATTTGGTAGCAGCAATGCGCGTGTGCAAACTTTGTTAAAAATATTTATTCAACGTGTCATTAATCTACTTTACGTGCATAATTAATGATACTTAACGCTTGTGCGTGAGATGTGAAATGCGAGAGCGTGAATGAGTTAGAATGTTGATTATTATTTTATTTGTTTATTATCGCGCTTGCGTAATTTCCGCGTAAATGCGAAATACGTGTTACGTCATCGCAGAGTATCGAACGTGTGCGAATGGATGTGCGTGAGGTTGGTTGACCTACGAGGGAATGGGAAGGCGGAGAGGGAGAATTGCGTGGGAAATTGCTTATATGTAAATGCGACGCACATAACAATGGTGTATTATTGTATTACTGTTGCGGTAGGTTGCATTCGAGATTGATGTGCTGTTCAATGCACACCTAATGCGTCGCCAACAGTGACGAAAATATTTCATTTCCAATGACACTGTTCGCTACTGTCTTTTGAAGATACAACGCGAAAATATTTAAGTATTATTATTTAGAAAGCGCAATATAAGCAAAACGGTCGGCGTTTGCACGTCGTTTGAAAAAGCGATAAAGTAATTTGCAAAGTTGTACCGTAAGATCAATTGGAGATGCGCGCGCACGTACACGCACACATACAATTCACACATCCACGTAGTGAGAAAGTGAGGTGAGTGAGTGTTTGTGTGTGTAAGAGAGAGAGAAACTCGCAGTCGAGAAACGGTTACAAGGGTCGCAGATGCCGTGGTTTAATCCGTTGGCTTAATTGGATTTTTATTCGAATCGAGAAACGCGCGCGCTTCGAGCCGATCGCAATTTTCAGAGCGAAGCGACGGAATTCATTATGATGAAACGTATCGTGGTTTTTCTTTGTTACACAGTCATATTTAGATATTTAGTCGTGCAAACTTTACGTCATTTAGATCATATTTCTATTTTTGTGGCAGTTCTTTGACGCTCGTTTGCAAGGGAAAATTGTGCGTTTTCTTAGAATGTTTCTTCCGAACTTAGTTTCATATGACGACGTATGAGACTGTTCTCTTAAATTCTACGATGAAAAATGAACCTCTTTATATTTTTGTATGATCGTTGTTTTCTTTGGAACGTAGTAAAAAACAATTTCTAAATATTACCTTTTAAACTGCACACATATGTAACGCAGATTTTAACATTTATCGTACGTGAAAACTTATGTTTACAAAATAAAAATAAAAAAATTCATTTCCGTATGTTATTGCGTTTTCCACAGTTGTATAGATTTTTACAGCTGTAGAGGCTCGATAAACGCTCGATAAAATTTGGCAGTACGTGTTTAGCGATTCGTTATAATGAGATATTGCGTCGAGCCAAACGGGCACATGTGTACACTTAGTTTATTTACGCGAGTACTAAAAAAATGTTTGGCTTAAAGGTCACAATTTCACGCGCAGCTGAAACAAGCGATCGAAGCGGACAAAAATCAAACTTTTCTTCCTAAAATGTTAACTTTTGATTCGTGTAATTCGAGTTTTTTATGCTGTTCGGATATTTCTTCGACTTTTGCATGACGCAAACTATAATATCATAAAATTATTTCTAGAAGAGTAAAACTCGCGAACAAGTTCGGATATATTTTTGGATATATTTTCTCGTTGTTACCGCGACGAAAATATATCGCGAAACAACCGATTTTCGCTCAAGTTTTCGCTAACGAAGAGAAAATTCGTTAAAGCATCATATCGCGAGCCACCGGCATTTTCCGTGACTGTCGTTTGTTATGCAGCCTGGCTGACGGTAGGAAGTCACTCGCGCCGGTGAGACGAGCGTCATCCGGTATCGTCGCGCGTTTCCAGCGTGAATGCGGAAGACAAGGGCGGCGCAAACAAGAAAGGATGAGACGGGAGATGCGAGATGGCGCGTGTATAAACGCGTGGAATAGAGACGGCGCATAGTTGTGAAGCAGAGTGGCGCAGGTGCATCGAGGCCGTAGAACGTAGGAAGTGCCGTGCATAAACGTCGCTCTGTCGCCTATGTGTGTGTGTGTGTATACGCGTTTATCGCGCGTGTATATGCGCTCGGTACATACATGTGATCCGGTATCGAGATGTTGCGCGTCGTGTATATCGCAACGCTCTCTCGCCGACGGACGAAACGACGTCCAGGTTATCAAACTGCCGTTCATGCATAATGCACGCCGATCTCTACAGATATCTCTCGCTCTGTCTCACCGGCCGCCTTCTCACACGGCCGCTATCGTTTCGATTCCTCTCCTCTCTCTCCCCGCTTTTGCGCCATTTCCCCGATCGGAGAGTTCTCGTCGATCGCCAAAAAACAAGGTTCCGGATTTCCGGGGACAAAGCTGCGGAAGTGCTGGCATCAGCTGCGGTGGAGATCCTCTATCAGATTTCCTACGTCGAGAGCAAGCTAGGGGAATGATGTCGCCGTGAACGGTTGAGCGATGGGGGTCGAAGAAGGGAAGAATGGGAAAATGCAACGCGATCGGACCGGGGCGGGTTTGCACGTCGCTGAACACGTGTAGGCGTGCACGTGCATTTTACCACCGATGAAGGAACGATTCGGTCCGTAACACAGAGCGGACTGCTGCGAAATCGAACAACGATCTCATCTCTTTCTTTTTGTATTTATGGCGGGTGACCGAAAAGCTCGATTGAAGAAATGCGATTTTCTGTGTTGCAGACGTTCGTTCGAATCCGATTGCAAAATTACTTTACGTAGGTAAAGAAGATGTTTTTTGTCTCTATTTCAAACAAAAATCATTATAAAAAGATTTCATAAATTATTAAGATTAAAAAATAAAATTATAGATATGTAAAATTTAATTATAAAATGAATTGAATAAAATTGTGAATTATGGATAATAAGTTGTACTAAAATAAACATTTTTCCGATATTTCTCTTGCTGAAACATATGAATAATTTAAGTAATAAGTAGTTTATGCGTGTGCGTCCAGATTTGTTGATGAAATCGGAGATCTCATCACGACTGGATTAATAATCTCGTTATGTTATCTTCTAGCGGATATTCCGTCGACGAGAAACCGAAGGTGGAAGTGAAAGAACGAAAGAGGACGCGGCGAGTACGCGCACCACCGAGCACGATATACGTTTTATTGCCGATGAAAAGACGGCTTGCTTGAATCCGAAGTCGTAACTGGAGCGATCAATCCGTTAGATCCCTCTTCCGCGGCATTTTTATTCCCGATACCTTAGAGAGAAATCTTTCTGTCGAGAGTCGACGACCCGCAATCCCGCGCTTTTTAACATAATATAAAAATCACATTTTTTTTTCTTTCTTTTTTTATTACATCAATATCATATCACCTTGTGAACGGATTTGATATCTAACCGAATTACTAGTTTTCTTTTGCTACTATATTTCCATCACATATCGACGCATTTGTTTAAACTTTCGTAACAAAATGTCTAATTCCGATTTATTTTAGATTCTTACGTAAAACACTAATGTCTAGATTTTGGAATAAATATGACAAAAACTTAGATAATTCGTTACGTATATGTTTGGAACGTTCTACAAGAAACTGATTGTCTCGAAGAGTACATAACATTTGCGTCTCTCTTAAAACTGGGTTATACACTGAATAATTAAATAACTAAACTAGATGGTCGTGCATTCTTTATGCGCTTTCTGACGAAAGTAGATTGTCCTATCAAATGTGTATGATTTGACATTTCAATGCAGATGGAGACCAATCGAGTCGAGCATTATTGCTGTATCTCGAACAAATGGCTCCTTCGAGAGTCTTCGCTTTTTAAAATCGCGACATCGTTGCCGCGTGACGCTTGAATGCTGCATGTAGCACTTCCTACGCCGCGCGCAGTGCGGCGCTTTGTGTATTTTTTATCGTCTAAACTCTTTACTTCGACTCACATCCCGAATGTTGCATAAACCATTGCGATCTCGACTTTCGCGACGGAAGCTTTCTCGTCTCTAAGCTGTGGAAAAATTGGCACAGATTTATGGGAGAAGTTGTTTTCCCCACACTACAGCGAGATTTTACCACTGCTCCGAGAACCATGCGAGATTATTTCCGCAACAGGCGTTTTCGCTGATGCGCATTTTTCTGCAAAAGTAAAATCTTACAAAACTGCTTTTGCACAGACTGCTTTTTTGCTTAACCGTATTTTTGTTTTGTTTTTCAGGACGAGGAGTGGTGCTGGACAGTCAAGGGCCGGTGCTGGTCTCGGAGCCGCGCTCAAGCGTAGAGTTCTCTAACGACACCGGAGCGATGATCCACTGCTCGGCTCACGGCAGTCCCGCGCCGAGAATCGACTGGCTAATGGGCGACGGCTCGCCGGTTCTACCGATACCGCACATCCGTGAGATGCTGGTGAACGGTTCCATGTACTTTCTGCCGTTCGGCGCCGAGAGCTACCGGCACGACGTGCACTCAGCCGTCTATCGCTGCCAAGCGTCGAACAGCGTCGGCAAAGTGCTCGGCCGTGAAATCACGGTGAAGGCCGGTAAGTAAGTAAGAGAGAGAGAGAGAGAGGAAGAGAGACGGAGCATCGCGCCTTTATTTCCTCCCGATTTCCCGCGTCTCGCTCCGCGACCGTTCACCTTCTTCCGGCCGATTGATCTTTTACAGTCCCTTGAAGCCCCGCTTTCCCGTCAGTAGAAAGAGACACACACAAGTCAGACGACGGTAGCGTGACGTGCAACTTTACGAGCTTCACGTGCGACCTTGAATTTTCTGTTCGAGTCAAAAATCGCCGAGTCTGGTCGTTATTATTTATGGTTATCGATTTGAGTAATATTGTAGAGATAATTTTATGACAATTCAACTACATTTTCAAGTTATCAATTAATCAAACTAGCCGTTGACTAATTTTCAATTAATTTCACTCATTACATACACATCATATGAAGATGCAATTTAAAAACGCGCGGCTTATACCAAATAAACGTAACAAATAGCGGTACACTCGGTGTGTTATATGAAACTACACGAACGTTCTTCGTATAAAACGGCGAGCGTATAATTTTTCAGAAGCACTAAAATTTCACGCATCATAAACATACTGTAATTTAGAAATTCTGAATTTGTCCCGTGATGATAAAGTGTGGCAGTTATTTTAAACTCCGCCGAGATTGGAACCCGACATATTCACTGCTATTTTGAATCGCCGAGACAGATTTTATTTTCAGTAAAACCGGGTTAGTGTCTGTGAGAATTATCTTGTGCGCAAACTTTGCCGCACTTTGAATTTTTGCAATAACACTATTAATGTTAAGATGAAAGATATGTGCGAAAGATAGCGTTTTGCGGTATTTTACAATCTTATTGTTAGTTCTGTCGCGAATAGTAAAATTTTTGCAGCAAACTGTCCTTACCAATTCTACACGCGAACCTTATCGATAAATAGTTATTTTTCTACCTTCTAATCCCGATTATTCTTCAAATAACGTACATTACTAAAATTCTTCTAAGCGTCAAATCTTCTACAATTGTGAAGCTTATCAACAGCAGTTTGACACATTTCATCGTCGTGAAAAGTCCGTTATCTGAAAATCTGTTGGCGAGCTATTTCTCAGATGTACTTAACGTCAATTTCGAGACGCTAAAGTGCCAACTCGTTGCGAAGTTTAAAGTCGGACGGTCTTTTCTGTACGTTTCGAATGCTCCACAGAGTTCGCCGTCGGAAAATCAACAGTCTTCGACGTTATCAGATAGTGCCGTTCTTCTTAAACTTCTTCTCCCTCCTCTTCCGTCGGGGTAAATGTAATCGACCGTTTTCCGGAATGACGTTTTAAATCCTCGACTCGGGCTAGGAAGGGCGGTAAGAATGATCGCACACTCGGGCAGAGCCAAGCCAACTACGTTTATCGCGAGCAGCACCCCCTTTCTCGCTCGCTTTTCCCCCCACTTGCCGTCGCCGCCACGGTAAATGGATGGTTCTGAACTCACGCTCGCTTATAACTAACAACTGACACACACATACACACACTGACGAGCTCAAGATGCGCAGATCGCGCGCGTTGATAAAGTGTATCTATAGATGTAGTACGTACTTGTACATACATCCGCAAAAAGATATACTGTCGTGTTGCGGTATTTTATCGCGAATACAATCTTGTTGTTATATTACACAAATGCGATATTTTTGCAGCACAAGATGTCGCTACTAATTGCACACGCAAAACTTTGTCAGTGAAACAGAGAAATAGAAATGCAAAGTCGAGACGAGAAGTTGTACTGAGAAAAATCAGCTAGCGCGCTGGCGTATTTCCGAATGAATTTCAGAGAATGGATGTTCTTCCTCGTAATTTCATGAAGAACGTATCGGTCGATTGATGAAGACAGACGTTTCTCGGTCATCTCGTATACGTCGAACGAGACAAATGACCGTGAGATTTCTCCGCAAGTTTGTGGCCGTAAAAATCGCGAGCTTCTGCCAGGAATTATTTATCGCGATTCAGTATAGCTGGCGAAGAGTCAGATAGTTCCAACCGGTTCCCGGCAAAGAAATCTCGCTTGGGTGAAATTGAAGGGGGGTGGATTACTCGTCGGAATGGTTGAACGGAAGTCGCGAAGGGAACGTAAAAACCACGAAGACAGAGCACTAATTACCGAAACTGCGGTCTGAAGAGCAGCGGGAACAATGAGGTCGGCGAGAAAAAAGAAGTGCCGAGCTACGACGTTAATAATGCACCTTTTAGCGTTAATGTGCCTCTCGGTGGCTTTCGTTAAAAATGTTAATTAATGGTAGAACGTTGGAAGCTGGCTGATGGCTGAATGATATTTTGATGACAAGCGTAATGTAAAGTCGCACTGCGTGTCTCCGGCGGAAATTACATCTGTCCATCGAGCAGAGAATTTTCATAAATTTTTAATAACATTGACGGCGAAGAAAAGAACACAGCAGAAGAAATTGAATAGTACTCGTTGCAAAGTTTTTTTGTAGCGTTAAATGTATTTTTTCATATATAATTAAGATATTATTACTTCTATATATTATCACGCGTGTAATTGGTTTTAAAAATTTATTAATATTTATATAAAACGATAAAAAAGCCAAAAAAAGTGCAACTTCTACTAGAGAAGGAAAATCGATTCCAGTTTTCCTTCTAGAAGAATATGCTTGCCGTGCGAAACATGCGGTGTTATTAATCACACGGACAGCAGAAACGGTTGTCTTCCGATCCCGGAAGCTCGCCGGGAGAGCAATATTCATCACTCGGATCCGACGTTGCTTATAGAACATCTCCGATATATCGTCGCGTGACACGTACATACCATTTCCCCACCTACTCTCCTTAAACCGTCATATTCGCGATCAAGCTTCCTCGTTTTCATCTTCGCCACCGCGGAAAGATTAACGTTTATCGCGCGACCGTCGACGCGACGAGCGACTACGCGATAAAAGGCGAATTTCACTTGAAGAGACTGATCTGACGAAACCGCCAAGAAGTCGCACAGATTAAAACAATGAATTCCGGGTGGAGAGCAGAGCTTTCACGATGTTCTACGTCGAAGAGAAGAGTTTCTTTTCGCGGACGGTACTTTCCATTTTTCCGACGGTATTATCCTTGCGAGTCTGACATTCCTGTTTTATGATGATATAATCTTTTCTTTTCTTCCTCTGCTTTTTCGGTTCTGTGTTTCTTTTTTTTTTTTTTTTTATCTCTTTCTATGCCGCAAGTCTTTGTGGAGAACGATAGCGGTTCATCTCAGGTCCTTTCCGACATTTATTTCTCGCTCAAGCGGCTGTAACTTTTCCTTTTCAGTGGTGCGCCAGAAGTACGAGGTGGAAGTGCGAGACGCTTACGTCCTGCCGGGCAACACCGGCGTGCTGAGGTGCGAGATACCGGCCTTCGTCAAGGAATATGTCGCGGTCACGTCCTGGTTTCAGGACTCGGCCTTTAACATTTACCCGACCGCGGAGAGTGGTGAGTGCAATTATGTTGATCGCGCGACATGAGACCGAAATGACACACGAGTTTACATATGTTTCTTGAATAACAGTGACTGTGCTTTAGTAAAAAAATTCGGATTTCAACCGGGAGACTACCTTTGAAATAAATTTTTTCCGTATATGAAACGTTGTTTTTAGAATGTTAGTTTTTGGAAGATTTTTTAACTATTTAATTTTATTTGTTACTTTGTACATTTGCTTTGAATTTTATAAATACTTTCTATTGTCACACGCATATTTTTTTGCCTTCAAATAAATGTTTTGAATAGTATTTTTTGCGAAAATTTTTCAATAAATAGTTAATAAGTGAATACAACTCGTTGAGAAAATCTATGACACGTAATATTTCGTTGACACAAATACTTTTCAATTTTGAGAGTAAAGCAGTGTGCTCAATAGAAAGCCGAATAATAAATACGGCTGTGTTTTCCCTTTATTCACGTGAGTCTTGCATGTTGAGCGACAGACAGAACGCACATGAGAGCGCCGCGGATTACGCTAGTCCGTAGTCAATATTCGAGTTAATTAGAGTTTGAGAGCTTGATTCGAGTGTCCACGTGCATACGTATCACGAGGCGTCGTTCCATCCGAGTTTCATGCGAAACGTGATATTACGAAACACTGGATAGACACGTAACATCACGTAGGGAATAACGCAAAGCGACAATGAGCATGATAGAATGCGAAGCTTCGCAATGCATTTTTTCAGGAATGACCTTTTTATGTTGCATAACAACGCGTTTATATATGGCACAAAGAATGAATTTTTTGACATAAAGGTAAAAATTAGATCAATCTGAAAAAGTTACGTACAATTTTGCAACAGTTCTTAAGATATTAATTAATTTGAGCCAACAAATTTATATGTAAGAAGAATTTACTGGTAAAAATATATGTGCAATTTTGATATTGAAATAATATAACTGTTTTTTTCTCGGATTAAGTGACTGGGCAAAAGTAAATACGTGAGAAGTTCATCGCCGAAATGGACAAAACATTTCCGAGCAAATTCGAGCGTTTTCGCAATTTCGTTTCCGAGGTCGGCCAGAAGTCAAACATCAGAAAACCACCACGTGGAAACTTTCCCAAATTCGTTTTCCTCGCGTCATAATGGCGGCATTGTGTCCCCGCTTTCGTGCCGACTCAGTACCCGGTGGCAGAGGACGAAACGTGACGCATTGTAGTTGTGTTTCGATCGCGGCTTTTCAGACCGTCACGTGCGTGCGCGGAATAAGAGCGAAAATTTCATCCTTCCGTGTCTCTAGGCGTACAATTTTCTCCGCGTTTATCGCGATAAATTATTCCGAATAAAGTTCTTCGCGCGTCGGTACGCCCGACCTGCTCGATGCGCAAAAGTTTTCCGAGTGATTCGTTTTCCATTTACCTCTCCTTCTCAGAGAGTACCGCCTTTCCCGTCCCAGATTGGATTTTCCTCTCCGGACTGCGCGAATCGCGTTTGATTTAATCCGGAGGATTTGTCGCCTGCCTGACAGACGTAAGAAACGGCCCGCTTATGAAGTTTAATCGTCTTCGGAAATAGTCGCGCGCACTCTCTCCGCGTTAAATTTACTCTCCGTGAGAGAGCTTTGAAATACTCCGCACCAATGCAGGCCATTCTGAAGTAACATAAACGCGAGAAATTTTAAATGACGCATTCGCGCAGCCAATTGGGAGATTTTATTAGTAAATTTTCATTAGAAAACTTGGCTCGTCTCTCACAAAGCCGTAACTTCTTGTATATAACATTAATAATTATTAAACTACGTTTTAAGTCCTATAAAATATCGCTCTAATGCTAAGATCATTTAGATTACATAGGATTAATAACTGATCCTGGGACTGTGTTAATCTTGAAATTATCGTGACTTAGTTACGACTCTCTGCGACTTAAAGTTACACGAGAAACTTCTCTCGAACAAAAAGAGATATCTGAGAAGAAATATCTTTTTTTTTTATTATCTGACAGAAAGTTCAAACTTAATTTCGCAGAATCAAGAGATATGAACTCGATGAATTTTGTGTGACATGTATGTTCGCGATATGTATGGTGTTTGCTCGTTACACAAGAACGTTTGAAAGGCACACAACCGAAACAGCGGATTATTCTCCCGAAGCACTTTGCTCGGTTATTAGTTTCGCCGCGTGCGCCGCGAGCGACGCATATCGGATGTATTGATATTTCGGGAGTCGCGGCGTAAAGCGCCGTGGACGGCTATTCGGATGCAGCCAACTTCAATACGAAACGTCTCACCACAATGCAAATTAGCTCGGGCTACTTGTCTATGGAAACGTCAAACTATCCTTGCCACCGTCGCTTCGACGTCTCACTCATTTGTTCTTGAACCATCATCTCGCAAGTGCACGTTCAGTAGTAACATAGGAGATAAAGTCGGACGAATCACAAAATTTGCTTTTACATCATTTGCAATAGTTATAGCTAGCAAAAACAAGTGAAGCAAAATCACACGGTTTTTATTAAACTAACACAACACAGGTGCGCGCACGCTGTTATTGTTTTTATTTTAACGTGTTGTGCCAGTAAACACAACCTGTCACCGCGATGACGGCTAGTATATACGTCTTGCAAACCACATAATACGCATGATGTACATGTGAGAGATGTCAGAAATAACGTATGAAAATCAAACTCGAAAAATAGAAAGAGGGGAGAGTGGAAAAACACATGACTAAAGTCACGTGTCTTTAAAAACGTGACTAAAGTAAGGTTACATGACCAAGGTCAGTGACCTCACCGTAGACACGTGATCAAGGTCAATGACCTTAGCGTGGTCACGCGATCAAGGTCAATGACCTTAGCGTAGTCACGCGATCAAGGTCAGTAACCTAATCGTAGTCACGTGACCAAGGTCAGTGACCTCTCTACCCTCTCATGTGACTTTAAAAAACGCAAGAATACTTTTAATTTTCAGTGTTTTGTTTTGAAGCAATTTAGACTAAAACAAAAGTGATCGGTTCAGTCGTTTTTGAGATATTGCTCCATGAAAATCTTCTCACTCTTCTCAATTGCATGAATTTCGCGTATAAGAGGCATTACCGTGCATCTTGATATGTGAGACATGAATCGAGAAACACATCCTAGAAATCCAGAATCAGCGTCGAGATAAAAATGGCAACAATCAATATATATATATATATATATATATATACAATATTATACTGAGAGAATCGATTGTGATTATTTACACACGCTTTTTCTGGTAGGATGTGTGCGTACATGTCATTGCGTCGGTGCATGTCATTGACGCTGCATTCAGCAGCTACGCAGTAAATTTTATCGCGTGTAATTTATATCGGAATTATCGGGCTGTGCGAAAAGTTCAACTGTAATGCAAATTCTTTTATGACGCTGATACTCTCGTTGACGAAAACACAGAACAGCGTCGCTTCGCGGCGTCCACACAATCCATGTCATGTGACATTATTATCTTTCTCTCGTTGTTATCTTTTTAAACGTCGCTCGCTCTAAGTTTTCTTTTTTTATAATTTTTTTTCTTTAATGTTTGTTGATAAATGTGTATCCTTTATACATGTTATTTCCCTAAATATACAGAGATCAAAATACATATTTGATGAACAATAACGTTTTCTCTCTTTAGGAGCATTAAATTGCATTGTATTAATGTGTGCGGACAGTTTTATTTACACAAAAGCTTAGCAAACATGTGTACTCGGGATATATCGAAACTACAATATTACCGAACAAAATTGGAATGACATTATAATTATTATCTCATTTATTTATTGAAGTTTTTACTCCTTATGTGTATAAAATGTAAAATATTAAAAATATGCTTCACACATTGCAGTTGAGATGAAAATTTGCTTTTTTTTTTGCATCTTACAGAAAATACTTTACATCTTGCATTACGCTAGTGTCTTTTTCTTGTACAAATATTATCTCACGCAAGCGTTTGTCCTTTTACTTATTTATTTACGCATATCTTTATTCATCAAATTTATTTTTAAGTTTGCTCTGCGCGATTATTCTTTTCCGTATCTTTGCAATGACAGATCACATAATTTTGCCAGCATAAGAAATATCGCTCACATCCGCAGATTTATTTGCCCATATTTACATAAAAGTTATTTTTCACCTGACAAGAGAAACGACTTATTCATCTCGATGTTGAAATAGAGCCAACTCGCGTTTTTTATATATATTTTTTAAGCTACCTTTCTTTCTTTGTACATAAATACAAAAAAAAGTTTTATTTTCTCTATTTTCCTGCTGCTTTTTTTAAATTTGCGCGCTTTGACATTTTTTTTTATTGAAAAAATGACATTTTGTTTATTTGTAATAAACGACTGAATCAGACAATTGTTAATCATATATTTTTTTCAGCAAATTAATTATCGCAATATTATAATATCGCACGAGAGAATATTCAACGCGAACGTTATCGATGAGCTTCTACAGTTTTGCAAGTTGCGTTTTCGTTCACAGTTTTCTCACCGTGTTTGGGAAATTCGCCTTTACAAGTAAGGCAAAGGTAATCATCGTGGATTTTTCATCAAGTAAAAGAGCGGATCTAAACTTGTAAATTCTAAAGTCAACTTTCAGTTTCTTCCAAGCATGATATTTAAATTGAACAAGCGAGGTAAATTCTCTAAATAGTTTATGAAATTTGGATTTTTCCTTTTGTATATAAATCTTAAATGAAATTTGCCGTGTGAGTTAGCAGCGATATTAAAAGTAGCGAATGAAGTTTTGATTTTTATGAGTTTTATTATAAATCTCTCTCAATTCGGCGATATAATACTTTACTCTCTCTGAAATGTTTTTGAAAACAATATGATATTACGGTTATTGGTAACTTGGTAAGGACATTTCTTCCGGCTGTTAACTATAATAACGTAAGGAAAGTTCTCTTCGCGAAGAACTTTACCCTCGCGCCGCGCGCTTGAAAAATTAATCCGGTAAAACGCAATTTGACGACGTTTCTGTTTTAACCT